ATATTTTTATTTTATATAATTAAAAAATTAAATCTATTAAGAATAAAAAAATTAATATATAAATATTTTTATTGTTTATAACACCCATTAAACTTTAAACTTTTAATTTAATCACTTAAAATAACATGTGGGGACAATAATTTGCCACAAAAACTAACAACCAAGCATGCTCACGTAAGAATGTAAGATGAATATTGAGAGATATTAATTCGTTTTTGGACATTAATTCCCCTGTCAAAACTTATCACATCATATATGGTAATAATTGGAATTGTATTATTAAGTAAACGATTTGTTAGTTTTAGTAGAACGAATTTAATATTTTTTAAATAATATTTTAAATTTAAATTTTATGAATGTAAAAATAAATGTTGAGAGAATTTTTTTCATAAAAAAATATAACAGTGATTTTATTTTAAATTAATCATAATTTAATATAATTATCAGATATAAATAGATTAATAAAAAAATTGCATTATTAAAATGTCGAAGAAGTAAAACAAAAAATGAAAAGAATATTTAAAAATGAAAAATACCCATGCGAGCTCGGCAGTTTTTGGCTAGAACGATGGAGTTGAGGGATGTAGGGCCAAAAACTCATTATTCTTCGCACTGTACTCAGATTGATACGTGTCGCCTCTGTAATCATGTTGCCTCTGCCCTTTGGTCATTTTGGAACGCAGTGTTTTTTTTTTTTTTTTTGGATTCAAACTTTTTCTACGAAATCGTTGATGCATGCGGATGAAGGAAACGTGGCTGGATATAAAATGGGATTGGGTACACCAAGAATTAACAAATAATTTTTTAATTTCTTTTCCTATTTTTCTTTTTCAAAATATGAATAATGAAAATATGATCCTCTTTCCCAAGCAAAACAAGACGTTCACATATAGTAATTTTTTATTTTACTTAAATTTGAAGTCTAAATTTTCAATATTGAGTTTATTTAGTAGGGTTTGTGTGATTATGATTATATATTTTTTATTGAAATTATTTAAAAATTATTTAATTTAATAAAAATATTAATAAGTTATTTTAAAAAATAATTATGATATTTAAAAGTATTAATTTATAAATTAATTTTAATTTATTAAATAGTAAATATTAACTATTAATTATTTTAATAATTAAATTAAAAAAATCAAATAATCTTAACAAAATAGGTTAAATGTCATTTTTGACCATTCAACTTTAAAATTTTACATAATTTTTGTCCCTTAATTTTTTAATGCATTTTTTGATTCCTTAATTTTGAAAAATACATTTTTAATCATTCTATTAGTTAATCTATTAAATTTGTATATACATATTTTAATCCTTTACTTTTTAATATATGTATATTTTTATCTATCGATTTTGAGTTAAAAGATTAAAAAGATGTATATTTAAATAAATTTAACAAATTAATTAACAAAAAAAACTAAAAAAATATTTTTTTTATGATTAAGAGATAAAAAATGACACAATAAAAATTAAAAGATAAAAATTATACAAAATTTTAAAATTAAAAGAGTAAAATCAATATTTAATCAACAAAATATCAAATGA